ATTGTTTTTTCAATTTAATAAATTTATACCAAATTGTTATGCTATCGTTTTTTATTGCTTTAACTATTGATTGATCTAATTGTAAGTGATTGAAACAATTGTTATTACTATAATTGATAATATTGTAAGCATATTAGTAAACTAAAATTCAAAGTTTTGCTCTTTTTTTTTGAGGAAAAGATTTATTTATGACAAATTTCTCGACGATTTATGCCTAAAAGTGAAGATTGGGATGCATTGATTATGCTCAAGGACAATCTAAACGGATTGGTGACATCAAGAATTAGGGAAGAGTAATGGAGACATGGTTACATGTTATACCAAAAAGTTATCAAATTGTTGAATCTGTACGATGAAAACGAAAGCGACCAATTGAAAAATGCTTTTTTCCTTTAAAAAGAATTGAAATATACGCTTACATGAAGAGAATGAAATGAATGTAAATGTTGATTAATGATTAATTAAGAAGAATTTAGTAAAACTCTCTCCAAACTTAATTATATGTATTACTCTGTTCTGTAAATTATCTCAATAATCATTATTGTATTAATATTAGAATATACTTCTACCATATTCATTGATTTTAGATAGTAAAATAATTTTAAAATAAATATTTCAAATTATTCGAAAAAGAATTTATTATGTAAATGAATTCGATAAATATTGATTATAACAGAACCTAAGAATAAGTGTGCACTTATTCAATTAATGCTTACAAAAATTGCATATATTTAGCAAAAATTATTTAAAAATTTTTTTTTGCAAATTTAAAATAATCGTTTTCAGTTATCTGTATGGCATATTTTCAGGATATACTAATAGAGGTCTTTCGAATCTCAGATGAAATCAAAGGCGGCACCGTAATTTGAATAAATGAAAGTTTGATGATCGACGATGAATGGATGAAACTAAAATGGTTCGGCATGAAAAATTTTAAAAGAAGGAGGAGGTCCTTTTGTACCGTAATATACCGCTATCATGGAGTTCAATCAGCGTTGAACCATTCTTTCGCGCATAAATTTCTATTTTTTAATTTTTTTTTTTTGAAACTGAAAATGATTCGTCAATGACCTTGAAAATAAAATTATTACTCATCTTTCATCGTTTTTTCTTTTTTTCCTAAACATTTTCAGATTTAGCATAGCTATTTTTTTTTTTTTACAAATAAAGAAATTTTTGTCAAAAAAAAAAAAAATTAACAAATAAATTTCATTCAAATGAATAAATTTTTGAAAATTATTGAGAACAAATGTTTGATTAGAATTCAAATCTTTCTAATTTGGCTTAATGAATTTTTATTAGCAAAACTGACCGACAATTACTGAAAGCTAAATGATATTTTATACTCTAAAATCTTTGAAAAAAAAAATTTTTTTTTTTTTGGAAAAAATAAAACAAAATACAAATATTTGATAAATATATTTTAACTAAAAAAAAATATATATTACTTAAATAAACCTTAAAATAATTCCATTATTTTCCAGCAGTTAATGGCATTTTATTTGCCAGAAAGTTCTTGAATAATCAGTATCAGAGTCCAAAAGTCAGGCGTCATATCTTCTAAAATTACAATATGATTTATTAGCATATTTTGTTCAATACTTTTTTGATTTTTTTTTCTCCATGCCGAAATATTTGAAATATATTATTCATAGTTCACCAAAATAGTTTCACTATTTTGCTGAGTCAAGCAAAAATTTAATTTTAAATATCACTGAATCAAACAAAACAAAAGAACTAATTAGAAAAAGGAAAATTTTTTCAGCAAATATTTTTGCAATTTACAAAAAGTCTACATCAATAATTTGAATTTCAAAATTTAAAGTTATTTTTTTTACATTTCAAACCAATTAAATTTAATGTGAAATATGGTTCACTTCTTATTAGGAATGTTTGTGAATAACATAAGTATTGAAAGGAAGGAAATACAATACTTTTTTTGTTTGATATGTCGTTACATCATCAATAAATTTCATTTCAATATATTTCAAATTAGAAATTAACAAAAGAAACTTGCAAAATAACGCTGCGCTATTGTCACATGAAAGAGAAAAGGCATTGAAAGTTATATGAAAAATTTTCAAATTGAAAGTTATATGAGTTGTAGCAATCAAAATTGACAATTAAAATTAGTCATTAAAAGGCTAATTAATATTTACTATGCTGAGAAAGAAATTACAGAGTGAGCATATAGAAGGATGAAATATGAGATAGCTGCAAAGTACCCACTAATTAATTATGTAATAAGCAGTTATGACCTACAGAAATGAGCTATAAAGATCATTTTTGACCTGATTCAATGAGATTTGCAAATACATTCGATCATATTGGAAGATTATCGATGGAAAATGAAATGAAAAGGGATAAAATATTCTGGTTATTACAATGTAAATTTATAAGTAATAACTTATAAATTACAATTACAATCATTTAATTACTCTTATCTATAAGTATAACTTAAATTTAATGATTACTTTAGGAATTTATTTTTAAATTTTTAAAAGATAATTTTACTAATTTGATCGATTCAATTAACATTTAATGTTTATTTCTGTTTAGAGAAGAGAAATGTGAATTATTTATTTCCATAGCAACAATATTTTAAATGCATTCACATACTATGTACATAAAGCTTTTTCTCTTCGTCTATAATAAAATAAAATTAAAATTTAAAAAAGTATTTCTAATTTTATGCTTAATGAATGTATACTTTATGTTATCACCAGTTCAAAAATTTTTTAATAATTTGATAATAAATTAAAATTAGCGCTATCATATCAAAATGCTTCAATTGTTACATTTCATTATTCTAATTAATATGCAACAATAATTTAATGAAACTATAAAAATTTTCCAACTTTGATAATAACATTTCATCAAATGATGAATTTATTATTATTATTATAAGTAGAAAAAGAAAATAATTAAATGTAATTGTATTTCGAGAAAATAATGCCACAACTTTTATCAATGAAAAAAAGGAAGAAAGGAATAGCATTCAATTGCAGAAAGATAACTATTAGCTTAGTAGTAGCAAAGAAATTAGCTCTTTTTTTTTTTTTTTTTGCTCATTATAGTCTCGAGTCTCGAGTGTCATCTGATGAATTTCATCCTAGTAACGCACTTTTATGTCATTTTTTTTTACGATTCTTACTTTATTGATGGCGATGCTTCCTGAATGATATCTTTTCTTTCTATGGAAAGTCAATTTTTTTTTTTTTTTTCGAGAATCTTTTATAAATTTTTTTAAAGAAAGCATTTCACTTCACTATAAATTTCTGTCTGCAATGAAATAGTGATAAAACTAATTCTTTCATTTCTTTTTTATGATAATTTAATTGATGCGGGAAATTTGCGCTTCTTTAGAATTAATGCGCTTTCTACTCAATTGTCTATATGACCATCCATCGAAGCTCATTACTAATCAGTTTATCAGTACTATTATCATTTAAGTTCACTTTAAATGCGGGAAATTTGCGCTTCTTTAGAATTAATGCGCTTTCTACTCAATTGTCTATATGATTATCTATCGATGCTCATTACTAATCAGTTTATCAGTATTATTATCACTTAATTGTATACTCAAACAGTTTTGTTTTTATTAATACTATTATAGCAAGAATTAACATTAGATATAACATTAACTTTTTATATTTAATATAATCCTTATGCTACCAGTATTTGTTAGGTAATTTTACACCGATTTTATCATCTGGGAAAAAAAAAAGTATTTTTATTATTTCAGCACCATTTCCATGGATACCTTTATTAGTGATCAGTGAGCCTTCAGCAAATTTCATTTTCCTATGTAAAACATTCGTTATGTATTGGCTGTTCAGGTGTAAACGTATCCATGGATATATTATTAATATTTCATTTTGAATTATTAAATTAACAAGCAGTATTTCTTAATTATTGTAAATATCTAAAGTATTTCATGCATTGAAGCATTTATCTTTCTTTGTTTAAAATGAAATTATTACATTGTTGTTTATCTCATTATGCACATTTTATAGTACTAATTAAATTTTATTTTATTTTACAGGTAATTTACGACCACAGAATAGCATATCATTTATTTGAAGTGATAGTTACATCTAAAAAAAAAAAAATTAATTTATCATTTTATCAATGAAATTGTTATGCTGTAGTTGATTTTTGATTACAAGTTATAACTATGCTTAATTTGTAATCACATATAACTATTATTTATAATATTTACTTCAAATATATTCTAAACTGATAATAATTTTAAAGGAATATAAATAGATATGTGACATTTGAAATTCCGAAATCAATTATCAAAATTAAAATCACTTTGAAGTAATCTTTCAATGTTGTAATTAAAAAAATTTGCAATTAGTAGTGATTTGAATTTTTTTTTTTTTTGACATTGAAAATTAATTTTAATTAAGAATTTAATTTTTTTTTTTAGTTACAAAATTTAGATATGGATTGTTAGGAAATTTTGATAATTTCTAAGAGTTTTTGTTAATTTAATTGCTGAAAAAAAAAAAATTCCATAAAATAATTAAAGTATAAAACATAATTAATTAATCATGAATGAAAAATTGAAATATTCTGATGGATTACATTTTATATTTTATGTTTTAATTATGAGATTAAATGCAAGCACGTAACTATTAGCTATCATTTTGAATTTATTTTAAATACTAAATGGCTCTTAATTTACATCTTTCCTATCCAGTTCATATCATGTCACCCAATTTTGTTTACAAATATTATTAGATGGCTAAATTGTTAGCAAAATATTATCTATCCATTCAAGCATAGCTTTTTCTTTTACTATGTTAGCATTTGCTTGGAAAAGTAATAATAGCAAAATTATTTCAATGATTGCTTTGTCACTTATCACTTATCGATCAGTTTAAATTTATGATCAATTTCAGGAAAGAAAAAGAATGAATAATCGATAATTACGTAGGCATAATTTGTTAATCATCTTTACTGAATGCTGAATATTTATTTATTATTCCGTAATGGGCAATAGCTACACTCACCTGGCTACTCAGGATCCTTCCGAATTACATCCATCTTCAGCATCAAACCGACCGGATATCTCGAAATTACAGAAATGGACCACACGATTCACTCCAGCTGATCATACATCACATATCAAAATGTGCAAATTTGCTGGATTTTTTCAATTTGATTGTTTAATTTATTTGACTGAAAATTGAATAATTCAGCATGAATGAACCTTACTGATTATTCCGGAATGTTTGATTTTGATATCACATTGCAATGTATCACTGACTAAAATTTCAAATGATAAATGGTTGTTATCAGACTTATATATTCTGTACTTGCTTAAACCTAAAATTAGTAATTTGCTTTCATTGCCTAATTATTATTTCAATTTTTACTATTAACATGCTCAACTGTCATGAAATAATTTAATCTTTCAATAATCCAATTGAATAAATAATATATGTGTGCTCATTTAAATATAACACTAGAAATTTAAAAAAAAAAATCTTTTAGATCTAGAAGTACATCACAGTTCGGAGAAATACATCCAACCATACGCGCTCCTGTCCATAGCGATGCTATTGGAGCATTAGCGCCAGTAAGGCCTGGTATGGTACTTAGCGGAGGCCGTGATAAGGTTTCTTTTTTTAAATTTATTTCTTGAATTTATTCCAGAAAAAAAAAAAATAAATCTTCTTGATAAGATTAATTATTGAAATATTTTATAGCTGATAGCATTGAACAACATGGATACGGGAAAATGTATTTTACGATGGTACGGCCACGAGAAAGAAGTCACTAAGGTAAAGTAAATGCACAAACTGTTAATCAAAACATTATTTTTCCTGGGTAACTTTGCCCAGGATTGTATAAAATATCATAATCTATGATCTAAGATATAGAATTTTCTCTGTAAACTTGTGCTCAACTTCTAGAAGTTATGCAAATATCGGTTTTGAATGTGAAAAAAACCAGAATGGTTGAGTAGCATTTTAGAAATTTGGAAACCGATGAGTTTAATCTTTTAAATATCCTCATAACATTATTTATGCTATCAAAGTAAAGCTATAATAGTATTTAGTTTTAGTATTGAAGAGTAAATATAAATTTCTTTTGCAGTAGTGAAAATAGAAAATCGGAAAAAGAAAAATATGCATTTTGGTTTTCGGATTAAATCATAAAATCAGAAATTTGTTTTTTTTTTTTTTTTTCTTGAAACTAAGTTTACTTTGTTGTTGACTGACTTTACTTAGATAAAGCTAGTAATAGTTATGTTTGTTAATAGTGTAATTACTTATTTTTCTTTATTAATACATGTGTTTTATTAAGGATTGTTTAGTCACACGTACGTGAACGTGTATGTGAACGTATGTGTGAAATACGTATACAATAATTTTACTTCTGTAATTCAGATGAAGAGCATACATAGTGTTTTATTTATATTCATTGTGAGGAAGAAAGACAATGAAAGATAATTAATTTGTAAAATTGTAAACCTTCGATTAATTTGTTGGTTTTTTTTTTTTTTTTTTTTTTGAACAATTATATTTATAGATTTCATATCAAAATAAATATGCAAAGCATTTGATTCTCAGTGGTTCAAGAGATTCACAGATTAGACTATGGCAATTTGATAGTCCGAGTACTTTACGCATCTTTTCGGGTCATCAGATGAGTATTGGTGGATTAGCTATGCTTGATCGTAAGTAGCTCAAAAAATCATCCGTTATCAGCGATCAAATATTTTTAACGGATATGAGCTGAACAGCAAATTTATAAAGCTAAAATATCAAAGTTGCAGAAATGAAATTTGTCTCGGGAGCACGAGATGCTACCTTGCGATTATGGGATCTCGAGATGGGCACATGCTTGCGTGCTGTACGACATTCCAGAAATTTGGTAATCATTTGTTGCTTTTTTTTTTTTTTTTATTTCATTTTGTAAATTAAATTTTAACTACTAGATGGTATGATTGATATTCTATATGCAAAACTGATTTCATTAAGTAATAAATTAATATAAAATTTGGAACTGAATCATTCCATGAAGAAAAGTATACAAATTACAGGTAACTCATATATCACATTGCAGCACAAATAATCTACTTGCCCAGTCATCAGAAGATAAACAATTGAAGTAAGTTTCGATGAATTTTCAATTTCTAATTTTATTATAGTATCTCTGCTCAATAATAATAATAAACGAAGGTATTTAGTAATGAAAAGAAATCAGGTAAAAAGATGACATTCTCGACGATTTCAAATTGAAATCAAATTTCATTTTACTGAAATATTTGTTGCAGAATTTGGGATGGTCGCAATTTGTGTCTTGCATTTCAGTTTCCAAAAAAAAATCATATCCTTACGCATTGTGATTTTTTACCAGATGGTAATTACTGCATTTCATCAAGTAATGGTTTTAATGGTGATGGTTGTGAAATTACGGTAAATTATATTTTCATTTAAATTTTAGAGTTGAAATTATTATATTATCATTAAAATTTTTATATTGTTATATTAAATTATTATATTAAAGAATTAAATTTTAACGATGAAATTATATTATCATTTAAATTTTTATATTATTATATTAAATTATTATATTTAAATTTTAACAATGAAATTATATTATCATTTAAATTTTAAAGATGAAATTATTATATTATCACTAAAATTTTTATATTATTATATTAAATTATTATATTAAAAATTTAATTTTTAACAATGAAATTATATTATCATTAAAATTTTAAAGATTTAAGCGCTAATGTACTGTGAAATTTGTTTTCAAAGTGATTTCAGCGAGACATTTTCTTTATCAATTATCAATTATCACTTATATCATTCAGTGTTATTTCTAGCTATGGGATATTCGACAACAAAAGATGATCCAGGAATATTATGGACATGAAGAATCGGTAAGCTGTACAATTTTTCTGCCACAGCAGATAATCTCGAAACGTATGCTGTTGAGTGTTTCCGCTGATCATACTGCTAAATTATGGAATATTGATGATGGAAGTAAGTTTCTCTTTTTGTGTGCAATTTTAATTTTAAAACTTTTAAAAGTTATTACAGTAATTTTTTTATTTCGAAAATTGAAATTATAAACTAAAATTGATCATTTATATGATGTGATATTTTTTTTTTTATTTTGATTTATTTTTAATTATTTTAATTTAAATTAGTTTCGTTCAGAAAATTTCATTCTCACTATGTTATAAAATAATTTTTAGGTTGTTTATGGAGTGAGCTTATACCAACTGCATCTGATCTATTAGCATGTGTAGGTTTCAGAGATGGAAAGTAAGTTTCAGAATTTTTTTTTTTAGTTTTTATAATTTTCCTGCATAAGTAAATTATTAAAATAGAGTATGTATTATTTTAATTTATTACTAAACTGATTGAAATTAAATAAAAAATTGATTTAAATTTGCAAAATTTACAGTATTGTTGTCAGTGGATTGAATGCAACATTTTGTCATTTACGAATTCTCACTCGTGCTGCTCGTCCTTATCTTGAATGTATTTCGGTTGCACAATTGCGCACTCGATATTCAATAAACGCCTAATTTGCATATTTTCCAATAGCTCTGTACATTATTCTCTAACAATCAATTTATTATGATTAAAAGAAAAAAAAAAAACATTGCAATTCTTAATTTTTGTTGATTGGATAATATTAATAATAATAATTGTAATAATAATAATTATTATAATAAATGATCTTAGTGAAATTAATTCGTTGTGAAAAATCATTAAATATATTTAAAATTTTAGTTTGCTTAATTCTTTTCGCATCATCCATAATCATTTAAAGAAGCAAAAACTATTTAGATTTCATAATGTATTTATTATTTATTATCAAATCATAAAGAAAAAAATTTCCTAAAATATTTTTAATTTTCTTTATCATAAAAGTTATTTAAACTGAAAGAAATACATCAATTTGAAATATAAATGCTATCGTTGAATTGCGACATTTTAAAAGTGACAACGAAATATCAAATTACTGGGATTTAAATTAATGTTAAATTTTATTTGAAATAATTGTTTGGAGAGATGTAAAATTGAAGAGATTGTTATTTTAATAAGAGGACATTTGAACAATTATATAAATATTAAATTTTGTCTTTTCTGATAACATTTAGTATATTTGATAAGATAATGTTTAGCCCAATTATCCATCTGATATTATTTTTTCTAGTTAAATTAGTCTTAATTAATTTCAGACATTAATTCTACTACATTAGTGTTATCGTAATATCTCGAAAAATGAATTTAAATTTTTAAACTTTCAATCTTTCTCGACAAGTTAGAAAAGTTGGAAAATGAATTTAAATTTTTAAACTTTCAAACCAAGTTTATTTAGGACATAAATACCGTCAATGATAATTGGTAGAAAATTTTGATATAACAATGCTTGGATATAACGATAAAATCAATGTAAACCGGTATAATCAAAAATAGTAATCCGTTCATTTTCAAAAAAAACTAAGCTTTTCTCATCTCTCAAATATCAACAAAAATAATTATGCATTGTGCTAATTAAAATTTGAATTGAAATTGAAATCATGATTGGTCAATTTTGAAATCTAAAAGAAATATATAATTGAAAAAGTTTGAGCAAGTGGAAATAATGAATTAACACCTTTTGTTGATTAATTTATTGATTGTAATCAAAACTTTTTTCAATTATCACATGTCCATAAATGCAATGTAATCAATTAATTAATTTTTAATCGAAATTGATATTTCATTTCTGTTAGCAAAAAAAAATATTTCGAAAAGACGAAATTTAATCTTTTGAAGGTAATTTACATGTTAAAAATAAATGGAAGTATTATTTTAGAAGAAGTAATTCATCTGAGAAAAACCTTTTAAAGTAGCCGCAAGTCTTGAATTATTTTTTCTTTGTTGTTTTTGTTGTTTTTGAAATTCAAGTAAAATTTTATACTCTAAGTGAGTTCTTTTAACTAACCTTTAAAAGTTCTTTTAACCAGCATTTTTAAGATTGTAATTAGACATAGTTAAAACAAAGCGTAAAAATCAACAATAACAAAAATAAAATAATGCTATTATAATTTTGAATATATTTTTAATTTATGCATGTCATATATTTTTAATTGTTATCAAAAATAACCTTAACATTATTTTTTTAATGTAACGAATTTGAAATTTGTAAAAAAAAATCATTCCTTAGAATTCATTTCAAAGATAATTATTGTTTTATGATTGAAAGTTTATTTTGATAAGAAGTAAACAAATAAACAGCTAAATCGGGTAGTATCAAAGGATTATTTTAAACATTCTAAAATCGATTTTTTTCTTTTATTCCCTACAAAATGTAAATTACAGTATTTTCAAAAAAATACTTTGACAATTAAAAGAAAGTACAGTTTATTAGTAATGAGCAACCTGTTCCAGTCATGCAGATGACACAAAAGGACATTCATTTTAAGTTGACCTTTACATGATACTGTATTTTAATAATAACTCACTCACTCATTAATCTTGAATTATACACTGAAATTCAATATTTTTCACATTAACATAAAATGGCTTTAATTTATTTACTTTTTTTTTTTGAGTTAGCGCTAAGTTTTAATTGTCTCTTCCGATTTATCAAAAAATTTTTAAATTGTCGCGTTGTGTCGCCTTCATTAAGCAAACAAAATGCATTTTTCGAATGACCAAATCATTTCGTTTTGTCAGTTCAATTTATTACGATTCAATTTTTTTTAATACTTTTGATGATAACTTCCTCACTTTAATGTTTTATCTATCATTTTTGTTTGTTTTCTGAATTAAATGCTTGAAGTTTATCAAAATGTATTTGAATATATTACTTTAAAAATTATTTTTTTATCTTTTAAATAAATAATAACAAGAATTAGCAGAGAAATTCGAAAATTATTTTTGGGTTCAGATGAATGATAAAATTGTTAGGAACGGCTGAAATGGCAACAACTGAAAAAACCAGTTTCAATTGGCACAATTAATGAGGATAATGATAATGATAATGATAGTGATAATGATGTAAATGATTAAATGAAAGAACTCTCCGATTACAGATAAACCATGTTTGTAATATTGTTCAGTTAGTGATAGAAATGATGTATCGTTTATCAATTCTTGTAAATTTTTTTTTTTTTATCTTATCATTTTGATTCATTGAATTCTTAAAGCTTAAAATGATAATTTATGCTTGAAAATGTCTGAAAACAAATTAACTTTTTCTGTTTAAGTTTTAATTTTTTAACTTTTAAGTTGCCTTTTAATACCAATGAATTAAAATTCGATATGTAACTTTTTAGAGGAGAGAAATATTTAGCAAAAAGAATGGATTTAATTTGGAAAGAATTACTTGAGATTGAAAGTTAAGTTAGAAATGCCAAAAATTAATTTTTCTTTTTAACTGATTTTTTTTTTTTTTCAAATTAATTCTGATCTTTTCATAATTTTGCTCAGCAAAATATTTATGAATCTTGAATAAAATAATACAAAGAAAATTGCGACAATCTTTAAAACAAAAAAAACGGAAAAAACGGAAAAATGAATGAAGCAATGATCGGATTCTTATCATGTATCATATCATGTATCGCTTTCGGTTTTATGTTTGTACCGTTGCGTAAATTTGACAGCAAAGATGGTAATTTTGTTTCTCTAATTTGAATAAAACTTTTAATTTATATATTTTATAATTCTTTAAGAAATCTCTAAGTGATATTTTAGTATCATCAAAAAATATTTTTTTAAAAAAAAAAAAAAAAAAAGCTGTAAAATTACAGGTTTATATGTGCAATGGATACAGTGCGCTGTTGTATTCGTCCTCGGTTTTGTAATTAATATTGTGAGAGGCTTTCCGGCTTTCAATCCGATTGCTATGGTTGGTGGTTTCCTGTTTGCAACAGGTAAATAACATTTCATTTTTATAATTATTACGAGAATTGACAGTTACCTTTTTTAAATGATAGAAAACAATTAGTTTTGATAGAATTTTTATCAGAGATTTGTTTGTTGATTATTGATATATTATTAATAATCAACAAACATTTGAAGGAAGAAATGAAGATTAAAAGTTTGAAATGAAACATATTTTAAATTTCAAATAATTTATTTTTACTATTAAAGTTCATGTATTTTAGGTAATATAGCATCGGTTCCGATCATTAATCATCTTGGCATCGGTGTTGCCATGTTGGTTTGGGGTTCCATACAGGTGTGAATTTCTGTGCAGGTAAAAAGAGAAGATTAATGCTGAACAGATTTTTATTTTTATACTTAAAAAATATTATCTTTTCTAATATCAGGTGTTAGTTGGCTGGGGAGTAGCACGATTTGGCTTCTTTGGTACACAACCGCAATTAGTTTACAATAATGTAATGAATATTGTTGGATTACTCTTCGTTTTGTTCAGGTATCACTTGTTTAGATAAATAGTAAATTAGTCGAGTGATGCTAAACAATTTCAGTAATAATTTAACCTTTCTAATTGTTAATCACAAATTTTCAATAAAATGACAAGGCGAGATAAATCTTTTAAATTATCAAACAATTAGAAAAAAAAAAAAAAAAATTAATGAATGCAATAATAAATTCGAAAAAGTTTAATCTAAAATGAAAATGAGAAAAAGTTTAAAAAATTTTTCAAAATATATGATGATGAAATATTGATGCAAATTATAGTGGTTTCATGTTTATTTTCGTGAAACATAAGAATCAAGATGAATATCCTGTTACAAAAAATGACACAATTTCGATGCAGCAAATAGGAGACAATTCCGCAGCGCAAAATAACAATGCTTATAAGCTAAAATTTCATATAACAAAGAAAAAAATTGGGTAAATTTTAATGTAATCATAGCAAAAATTAAGATTATCGTTATCAGTTTATCATTATTTTCATTCTATTCTCTATTCATTAACTCATTTGCATTTCTTTTCAATGTTTTTTTTTTTTTTTTATTATTTTTATTATTCACAAGTAATAATCATTTTCATTTCTGTCATACTTCATACAATCTTATCAATTTGAAGATGATATCATTGATTGCTAATAATATCACAACACATCAATTGTGTCACATGTCCTGTTTACTGTCTGTTCTGATGACAAATTTAATTTTTCTAAATTCTACGATATCTTTAGTCTCGCAAGATCATTTCTAGCAATTTCTAGTCATGCATAAATTTACAGATGTCTTGGGCTATCCGTACTTTTGGGTATCCTTCATGGCTTAATGATGACTCCTATCGCATATATTCAAGATAATGACTCAAATGCATCGCCCGATGGTATTTTATTCTATTTCCATTAATTGATGATGGTTAACAAAGGTTAGAATTCAATTTGGTTTTTCTTAATTTCAGTCCTGGACTATGTTTTCCCACATTTTTGTGCAATATTTTTCTCCTCAACTGTATATTTCATTGCTTATTGTGTATGGATGCGAGATCGAATACATGCTCCAGCAGAATTGGTAATATTTTTATTAGATTTTAGTTTGTTGGTCAGTTAAATTTGTATTCTCCACTGAAGGAATACTGCTGTCCAAGGAATGATAAAGATAATTTTAAAATTAAACCACATTTTAATTACTTTTTGCTTCTTCATAAAAAAAGTTTCCGAGTATTTAGATTTTACCCTCAGCTACTTATGGAATATTATGGTGTACTGGTATGATACTTTGGTTCATCTCAAATCATTTGTTATCGCAAACTGTTAGCTTCCCAATCACTACGCGCGTTTGTTTCATTTTATTTCATTCGATATCATAGAATGCACAAGCAATGATTATTGGAAGAATATAGAATTATTATTAATCACTCATATGCTTCAGTTACCGTCAACAATTGGAGTTCTACTGGATGTGGTGTTTTTTAAAGATATCAAGGTGAGCTACTCCTTTAGAAATCTCCAGCAGAATTTGATATGATTGAAAATGCTCTCAAACTGATTACAATTAGGTATAGAATTAAAGAGAGTGAAATTATCGATAACCATTACTTTTTCCAGGGCAAGAAAAATTTGACGATCGCATTTTCAGCGGTTACCATTGGTTTGATCGGTGTACTACTAATTGCATTTTCAAATCAGCGCATTATAAATTTTGGAAAGTAAAGAAAACTAAAAGCGTAAAATTTTATGCTTTATGCATATGAAAATGTATTTAACCATCGTGTGAAAAGTAGCTGGATAAAGAAATTGATTGCTCTCAAAATTCATGGACGAAATATTATGGTTGTCATTTCATGTACTTCAAAATCCCGTTATAAACTTTGAAAATCCTAAACCAATTAGATAGTATAACCAGAAAAATCTCCCAGAATTCCCAGGAAACTTAGCTAAATCACTTACTTGTTTCAAATTGTTGAAATGATACTAATATAGAACCAAGAAGGACGAAGGAATGCCAAAAACGCACACAACTTTGGTAAGAATCTTATTCGATTTAGCATTTTTTTCGAAACCCTGGAGCAGAATATATATTTCTTCGAGAGTTGGAGCAGAATGTAAAACGACAGATTAGTATCTTTTCCCGGTATTAAATAAACACTCACGAAGCAAGTATATAATAGTTATTCTGGAAAACAAAGCAGAAATATGTCCGAAATATTAGCTGATTCGTTGAAACTTCCCGTTTTCTAGTTGTTCCTGATAAATATAGAATGTACTGCCCCCCCTGAACAACAGCAAAGTCACAGAAATAGCAGTATGTAGGCTTGCAGTGAAGGAAACAGAAAAAAAACAAAAACAAAAAAAATATTATTCTTTCAAATGTGACCAAGAGATCAAAATTCTAACTTTTCTAGTATTATTTGCTACTTTCATTAAATCATTGAATGCGTAAATTATAAATGAAATGTGGAAGAATCATGTAAATTTTTTAAATAATATGAAGAAGACTAGATCTATTTGTCAATGAACGGATCTATTTTGATTGAGAGGGTATTTCCCACCCTTGCTTTTTAAAGTATCGGGATCTCGTATTTTGGAAATTAAGGCAATCAGTCAGTCAGTCAGTCACTTCCTTCTTATCTTCTCCACAATTTACTAATGCTTCAAATAGTTAAAGCACAGGAACGTGTTATGACAAAACTTATTGTAGCTTGATATATGAAAAAACAGGTGATTAATTTAAACAATAAAAAGACTAAGATACAATGTGATAAGCTCAATTATGAGATCAATCATTTAATGGTAACAAGTGATAAAGAGTTTCCGTGATATAATGGGTGAAAAATTTTTTAATAATCTAAATGACTGTAATTCACAACCAACTTTTTTTTTTTTAATAAAGTTCAATTAAATTGTTAGCAAAGAATTGAGTCTTTTAATGTTCGTAAATCAACCAGACTACAAAGTTCAATAAAATAATAAATATATTTCCAGATCGCAACTGAAAAAAAAAAAAAAAAAAAAAAAAGGTTAACTAGTGCAAAAATTGTGCATCTAATACTAAAATTTCTCAACAAATGGTTTGCGTATATGAGCATTTACTGTTAGCATATTTTATTCATAGCTTAAACGGCTGTAAAAGAAGGAACAATGTCCCACAATATTTATGAAGGACTTTTACAGACTAATGCAATTTTTCATATCAATTGGAAATCTTTGTACACGAAGGAATATTGTGAACCAACAACCATTATATTATTTGCTGAACTTTGGTGCTACATCAAATTTTAACGCGAAGCTTGTTGATGCTTCTTTTTTCGGCTCTACTTTCAGTTCTTTATATAACTTGGCATTTTGTATCTGAAAATCAGTTGGAAATTTATATAAATTTATATACTTAAAGAAAAAAATGCTGTTTAATATCTGTGGAAATTAATTCACCATTCATTGTTCCAAAATTATATATATATTAGCAATATATAAATTTACCTAATTTAACATATGAGTTGTAGGATCGAGACAATAAACCAAATGTAATATAATGTAACATTTTGCAAAGAACTTCTTCTTTTAGCACTAACTTCTTTAGATGAAGAAGGTTTTGTTATTGGCGTCTTCACGACCGATTTACCCAATTCACTTTTTGCTGGCCATGTTGGAAACATTTCTGGAGGTGTAGGTGGCGGATAACGCTCAAACCAATCATGAACCAAAGCTTCATGAGCAGAAATTCGTTTAGCTGGATTATAAGTTAGTAATCTGAAGTAAAAAACTTTTTTTCTCTTTTAAAATGATCTTTCATTTTGCACCAAATTTCAGAATATTATCCAGAAGATCTAAGAAAACAATGGAGAGACTCAAATGTTAAGAAAATATACTCTTTAATAAATTCTAATCCTCTTTCATCGATCAGACTAGTCGAGAATTTTTTCTCTAATTCTCCTGCATCATGATGTTCAAAAGTAGTTTTCCTTGGTCCTGGTAAACTGCTATAACCAGGCCAGATATTATCATCCGGAGTTCCCAGATCCTGCATTTTGTATTAGATGATTATTTGTTGACAGTAAACAACATAATAGCCGTTTTATTCCAGCATTCCACTTCATAATTAATCTCTATAAGCTGCAATCTTTCTGGCAATATATTTTACCAGTGATAGTAACAGGATGTTAAATTTCGTTGAATTAAATTGACAGTATGTTGAATAACAAAAAAACAATATGTTGAATTTCTATTATCAGATTTCAACATTTCAAAACGAATAGCAATGAGGAACATACTTATTTACCTTAAGATGAAAGTGTCTGAAGCACAAATTTAGGACTAGCTCGTATCATATCATATTATCTAGCAAAGAGATATGTGAAAACCAACTTACAGTAAATATTTTGTTGATCTGATCCATTTCACCCTTTCCAGGAAACAACGGTTTTAATTTAATGAATTCAGCAAAAATACAACCGCAAGACCACATATCGACAGCTGTTGAGTACTCCTGCAAATAATTCATTAAATAGACGATGCAACCTGCTGATAGGAAAAATCGATCAGAAAAGAGAATACAAGTTGCCAAGCAAAAAATGGATTAGAAAAGATCTACCTTAACACCCAAGAGTAATTCAGGAGCTCTATACCATAGTGTGACAACAATAGGTGTGTATGGTTTCAGAGGATCTCCAAATTCTCGTGATAAGCCAAAATCGCCAATCTAAACGATACAAATAACAAAGAGAACGAGATTTTGGAATTTCGAACAGAAATTTAAAACTTTATAAGAACATAGTGCAAGGATGAACTTCCTGAAGAAATACCTTTAAAATTCCTTTATGTGACAAAAGAAGGTTTGATGTTTTTAAATCTCGATGCAAAATCCACTCATCATGCATGTGGGCTACACCAGAAAGCAGCTGATGAAGTAAAGTCTTTACTTCTCCTACAAAATTCAAGTCTAGAATGAGTAGTGGGTTGTAAAAAAGACAAAATAACTGCTCCGAAAAGTGTGTGGACTACTCAGAGCTATCATTTGATACGGTTAAAAATCAAATGAATTAAATACTGCACTAGCAAAAGTGACATGTAGTTAATTGCTTAATGTATGGTTAATCCAGATTTAATTAACGGAAAAATGCTTTTTAAATTTACTGTCTACTATTGTCTACTGATTCTCTAAATCTCAAAAAAAAAGAAAAAAGTAGAAATGATGCTTTCAAGAAACTTACCCGTCCTGAAACGCTTCCCACGCGAATGCATAGTGTCCATGAGGCTTTTCATATCATGTTCAACATATTCCATGACCAAATAAATTTTATCCATATTTGAACCAATTACTATTTCCTGTAACAACAAAAATATGACGAGTTTGAAATCACACACATGTACAAAAAGTTTAAAAGGTTAATACTAAGGTTAACTTACTCGAACATTGACAATATTTGGATGATTGCCTGCTTTCAGAAGCATATTAATTTCACGAAGCGATGTGATTGGGAAGCCTTCCTTTTCTTTTTCCATCTTTAAACGTTTTAGTGCAACTATTTCATCTAAACATGGAGAATGAAAAAAGTTATAGATTGAAAAAAATTTGTGCAATAAGAAATCTGGAAATCAAAAATATAAAACTACCAAAAAATATTAGTTTCAACCTGTTTTTTTCTCCTTAGCACGATAAACAACACCAAAAGTTCCCTCCTCAATGCGATTCAAACATTCAAATTCAGCAACATTTCGACACCCACTAATACCAGGATAATAAATGGGCAGCTTAGCTATTAGTCTCTTTTGCTGTTCGTCTTCAAGTCTAAAATATACTATTATGTATTATGTATAGTAAAATATACTACGTATTAAACTATTAGTTTTTCAAGAATGGAAAAACATGAAAAAAATCTATTGCGCAAATTGTTTAAATGCATAGAAACGCGTTACCTAGCCCGTGTTTCAGGAGATAAACTAGCCATCCGTTCCTCATCAAGGTCGAGCAAATCTATGCTATCCTCATCCAAATCGCGCAAAATTACATCACTTTCCGCATCTAAACAGCTGTTTGTAAAAAGCATGTTTGCGATTGTAGAAGATTGTGTTTTCTGACTTTTATAATGAGTAATATTTTATGCCAAGCACACAAACTAAAATACCTGAAGCACTATCTACAACCATTTCTATCTTGTCTTTTGCATCAGAAAGTTTGGTTTCATTTTTTTCTTCCTGTTCATCTTCTGGATCACTATCAAACTTCGAGTACTTTGATGGACCCATTGGCGTAGCTAAAAAATAAAAGTGAAACTCAAATAACATTTTGTGTTCCAATAAAAAAAAAAAAAAAAAAAAAAAAAACAAAAAATTTGATTCAGTTGAAAAACTGAATTTTCACACTGGAAAAAACCTTTTTGTGAAATCGATGGTTGTTCTTCGTGCATTTCATCTGAACTAATCGCTTGATCAAATTTATTATTGTGTCCTTCAGCATGCACATCAGGCACTGTTTTTTCTGCATTATCACTGACGCTTGTTACCTCTAAATAATAACCTGATATTAAGCGAGACGTTCAGACTCTGCAAATTCTAACAGATTTGGAACTTCAAAAATCTAAAATGTTCAAGAAAACACAAACCCATTCCGGTGCCATCAGCTTTTTCTATATGCAGTTTCTTTGATGGTAATTCTGATTCTAGAGTAGCACCAGCCCGTTTAGGACTTGTGTTAGCTTCACGTTTACGTGGAGATCGGCTGAAAACGACATATGCAATCATAAAATGCATTTGACTGTTTTCATTTAAGAGAAGTTCAGACGTTTTAAGTTAGCACAATAATATAAAAAATCATTCCTTAAAGCTGCAACTTAAATACTAGTTAGTATACTAGATGAACATTTGAACAAATCATCAAACCTTTCGTCATTTAGACGAACTTTTTTTACTTTTTTTTTCTGCTTCTCCTTTCATTTCATGCTTCCTTGTACAAAACACTTAGAAAATTCAAACCGACATTTTTTTGAAGTAATCGAGTTTCGCTGACTGTAAAAACTTGCAATCATAATTGTCAAAAAGAAATGAAGAGAAGAATTTAAAAAAACCTTTTGTTTGCATCTTTTGCATGAAAATCATTTCGCGATCGTTCTATTTTGGATTCACTGTGATTTTCACGTTCTTTGTAAGACATTTTCATGGATGAAGGTTTCTGTATTGATTTTGAGTCAGGTAAAACTACACGTCCAGCAAGCCGTGACTCATGTTCTCGCGGCTGTTGATGTTTGCCAGAGACGTGACGTTTATGAGACTGAAATAGTGAATTTGAAAAATATATACCTCGAACAATGAGCGGTCGGTCATAAAAACAAGAAAGATTACCTCACGAGAATCATAATCTCTGCTGGCATAATCTCCATGCGCATGCTTATCATGTTTCCGTTCCTTGTGCCAATGTTTTTCATCCCTTGTTTTTTCCTGCTTTTTAATCTTATCACCAGATGCTCCACGTTCCCGTTCCCTATATTCATGAGGGCGGGCGGAATGACTGCGCTGTTTTACAACCTGTAAGGAGATATAAACAGAAAAAAAAAATACAGGAAAAACAATATACAGTATAAAAATAAATTATAATATAGGACTATGTACCCAAAAAAAAACAAATAATAAATTCAATACTTAGTTCAGATGAGGAGCATATGTTAATATACAACATGAGTTGCTTATCAATTATAAGATTTAGTGAAAAAAAAAAAAAGAAAACAATTATAACAGATTCTTTAAGAAAAAAACCTACCGTTCACCAACGCAAAAAAAAAAAAAAAAAAATAAAAAATAAAGATAAAATAAAGAGAGCATGCAGATTATTTGGAGAATAAGAAGTGAAGAAGAAAAAAAAATAATACATGTTTTAAGACTAAGATTAATAAATTCAAGCAAAAACTGAAGACTATTGTATTATGCAACATTTGCTATCACATATGCTGTAACATACCGATTCTTTGGGCTGAATAGAAAACATCTCTTCATCATCACTTGAGCCATTTATATTAGACGTTAGTTTGGATGACTTTTTCGTTTTAGGAGATATTGAACGTATTTTTGATTTTAATTTCTTATCGACATTGGTGATTGTAACGGAAACCGATGATGTACTACCATGTTCCACTTCGATGACTTCACGCTTCAACACTGAAGAACTGCTTAGCACATTACGCCTTTCCAACAGCTTTTGGCGCAATCGAGCTTCTTCGCCTTCTGGAAGAGAATTCAGAGAAGGCGGTTTCTACAGATGAAGTTTCTAGACAGGTTTCAATGGATAAATCAGATACGAAGACATATTACGCAGCATTATATATAATGCTACGCAATATATGCTAGTTTCGCAGTGAGTTTTAGACATGCTGTCATAGGAATGAACAGAAGTGAGTAGCAAAATTTTGCTTTAATAAACTGATGATAGTAAACTAACCAACATCACTCGATGAGGTTGATGAATGTTCCTGATGTCCTTTTTCTACTTCTATATTATGATCATTCGGATCCAAATTATTACAAGAAACAGGTTGTCGCTCAAGAGAAGTGCTACCTTCTAAAAATATGTGTAACATTGAACACTATTTAATCCAATGTTTATATTATTTACCTCTAGACTACAATTCTTGTCGCATTCAAACTTCACCAAAAAAACTTCACAGAGAGACATTTTATGAGGTAAAATGCATCCGCACAACCAAACAGCAAAACAACAACCTGAACTTCATTTGCATATGCATATAAAATGACTAACCTGAGCTCTTCCTATCATCATCGATAACACCTTCCTCTTTATCAGTGTCTGTATATTGTCCATCGTCTGACGGTGAATTCATTTCTCCCTGAAATTGCGTGAGTTACATGACTGATAATTTTGAGATTCAGGCAGTGCGGATATTCCACTGCTAGACATTAATCATTAACTTGAAATATTTGTTGAAGTACTTAAAGCATGATTTGTAATAATAACTCTTTGTAAAAACTCCCTGTACACCACCTCTTTCAACCAAACCTTCCAAATACCGAAGACTTCGCAAAATCTAAAAGTTCAACAGTCTTTTCTCCAACACTCAGAAAATGAAATGAAAAAACCGTGATGCGTAACTTTGACTGTATCGCGACGAAAATATTTATTGGTTGCCTTTTCCTTAGATTATACTCCAACACTAAGTCTTAATTAATACGCTCTTAATGACATTCATGGTGAATTTATTTTTGTTTCATTTTAATAAATGTTATACTCTCATACATTGTGGACAAATAAATTGCCAGCAAATTGCTACCATTTAATATACACTTGTTGGTGAGCACTAAAGATGCAAAGAGGTGATAAGATCTCATATGATATGGAAGTATAGTTTTAACTTAACTTAGTACTTATCATTTAGCACTGTTTTGCTTGCTGCACATATTTTACAACATTTTCTTTTAAGATAGAAAGTATTATAGCATTAATAAGAAAACCTTCTGTCTTACAAAAAAAAAAAAAAGCTTCCAATCTTTTAAAATGAAATTAAAACCAATGATATCATAATGTTCGGTGTAGGGAAGCCTTCAGGCTTATTTCGGTTTTCAAAGTGACCAAATTTTGTGGTGCAGTATTGGTCATTGTCGCTCAACGAAACGTCTGCTGTAGTTTGTTGTCATGGTTTTGCAATTGCACCTAGGGTGGTTGGTTGTAGTGGGTTTGTGAGGGGTGGGGGGGGGGGGGGCAGGGAGAGAGGGAGGGGGAGGAGGGGAGGATGTGATTACAGTAGAGGACACTTTCTGTGTGGGAGTATGAGTTGACAGCATCGTGTTGACAAATCTGAACCAGTTTAGCGAATAGCTTTGTTTAACATCAATTTCGCCTATAGCTAATAGTTTATTTTCTAAATTACTCTTAGCATGTATTCATTCAATACGTATATCATTTGATTCTCTTATTATGTTACTATTTTGTGTCGTATATTTTGTTTTTCTCAGGATCATTTGTGAGAATTGATTGACATGATGACATCCGAATTGGTATCTGTCAACTGTAAAAGTGAAGAAGGAATAATAAACGAATCAAAAAATAGCAGTGTAAGCGTATCTTTTTTTCTGCCTCTCTCTTGACAAGATGATGTCCTTTCATCTCTTAATGGATGGAATTATACCGACTATTGTCCCAAGTTTTTAATTTTACTGTTGTTATGAGTTTGTAACCAGAAAAGTTTCACTTTTGAATTTGCACTCATTTTTGGCTGATTTCGTATCATTCTGTTCAAGACAAATATATATGCAACTAATTCATCGTATCCAAGACATTTTTATATTTCAATTAGAAATATTTAACTGATATTTGGTTTATATATATCAACCAGTGTTAGTACTCTTACTTGAAGCTAATCTATTCAATTGTTTATACGTAACAGAGCAGCTACATACTTAGGCTTTGCATTGATTTTTGGAGGGTTTTTAAATTAATTAAAGGAAGAAGGCAATGAGTCTGTGGAATATGTGGTCGTATCAGAAACGGAGGAGAGCGAACGCTTAGAGCTCCCCTTATTACCAGAAGATTGTTCATTGAGTTTAAACACTTTGGTTCATGCATTCCCTGGTGCACATGGATTAAAATATAAAAATTCTATAACAGGAGCTAGTCGGGCTTTGCTGTAAGTTCATATTTTGACGTTTCTTTTTGGATTCTGAAATATGATAACTGTCATGATATTAAAGCTTATCCCTAACCTCTTTTATAACTGCTACCCCTGACAAATCCACAAAATAAAATTGTCCCGTTTACGTATGAAAGTTTTCTTCAAATCAGTTAGCTGATGACCTGAAATTCCTAATTCTGGTGACTTATTTAGATCTTATTACAGGATGGATCCACAGGGGACGCGTTTTCTTGCACCTCCCGATGGCTGGAAGAATAAGACATTTATTGTCATCTATCCTCACCGTGGTTCAGGTATCAGTTTTGCAATATCATTTTTAAAGATTTTTGGTGATTATGATGTCAGAGTTAGCGAAATCAATAGTTTTCTTAAGAGAACACAGAATCAGTTATTATTAATGAATGCTGATGAAGGATTATTGCTCTTTGTTTGTCAAAGGATATATGTGAAATGATAAAAGTGATTATGTAGTGCTAGATTGGAATGCTGTGGTTTGATATCAACTCGTTATTTTGGAGCGGTGACGTTGGAAGTGAAGGTGAAATTGCCCAAGCGTTATGAGTGATGACTTTAAATGCGGAGTGTTTACCTGATAGTGCCTGATATGAATAGTATAATAGGTGTTACTTCATGTAGAAATTCAAATGATACTGGGGAATTACTTTAAATTTAATGAGCAGTGGTGTATCAAGTTTAGATGCTCAGTTTGCTTCCGAAGGAAATGTAGTATGGGAACTGTTATCAAGAACGGGTGAGCATTGTAGAGAGAAATCAGTTGCACAAGCACAAACTCTAATTTTTTTTTGTGCAAGCATTAATTGTAGTTTGCATCTGAAAAGCATCAAAAATGATATCTTCAAATTAAAAAAGTAAATATGTTGAATTGATAGCTTCCACATATGTAGGAGGGGAAGAGGGGTGAGTGTGTTACGTTCATCGTCTAAACAATCAGTGTGTGGTGTGCAGGTGATCAGAACACGAAGCGCAAGAAGATGATGGATGAGTGTGAGCAAGAGGGCGATTCCGAAGATTCGCAAGGGGGACGCGGGGGACAGTTTACCGCTAAGCAAAAGCGTATCGAGGATCCAAGTGGCGAGAAAGCGTGTATTGATTTGATTGTCCTCGGATTGCCATTCAAAACATCTGCTGAAACATGCAAGGCATATTTCGAAAATTTCGGCGAAGTCGTCCTTTTTGATGTAAGCTAATGCTACTTTTAACAAAAAATGCATCCTTGCAGTGGGACCTTTTTTCTTTCTCTTTTTCATCAGTACTCCATATATGTTGAAATGATGAGTTTGATAGGGATTTTCGAGTTGCGGAATGATGTTAATTGTCTTGAATCTGTGTAAAAAAAACGTTTGATTGTGAACATTTTCAAATTTCTTTGACATTTGTGAGTTGCTTGAGTTTGTTTTTTGGGTTTCATGGATTTTGCTTCTCTAATTTTATGCTTTCTGCAGAGTTTCATAAAATTTAAGGAATATCAGATTTACCAGCAAAGTTTTTTAGTTGAAAACTGATCCTAGTGGTGCGTCAAAAGGTTTTGGATTTGTGCGAATGGCTGACTTTGATGCCCAACAACGCATCCTCACGCAGCAAACGCATGAAATTGATGGACGTAGATGTCAAGTGAGGATTCCACTTTCGAAGGTGATTATTTTCAGTAATACGTTCAAACTTTTCTTGGCATATCTCTTGCCATTGAGATATGAACGTTGTAGCTTACACGCTGAAGTTATTCTATCGACAGAGCTATTTTTAAATCAGTACATTTTGTGTGTTCATTTAGTATAAAGATTTTCTTACTGTATAGAAAATTAGTTCGATTTGGCGTTGATTTTATCATTCAGTGCAGGCTTTTTTTTATCCGGAAGCTGCTTTTGGATCAGAAATCAATAAGTTTTTAAAAAATATATCCTTAGATTATTGACGTTGTTCGCAATTTGCATTTTGCCACCATTACTGATTAGAGGTTTAGACATATACGGATCTGATTTCGAGTAAAATCAATAAGTTTTTAAAAAATATATCCTTAGATTATTGACGTTGTTCGCAATTTGCATTTTGCCACCATTACTGATCAGAGGTTTAGACATATACCGATCTGATTTCGAGTAAAAAAGCTGGAATTATAGGGAGATACAGGATCACCAATAGTAACTCGCATATTTGTGGGTCGCGTACAGGAAAAGACTACTGTCGATACACTCCGAAAATTCTTCAATGGCGAGGCTACTAAAATTGATCCAAATGCTTTTGTAAGTTATTTTATGGAAGATTTCGGTAAAGATATATTGGAAATTCTTTCTCCTATCGTTTGCTTTTTTTTTATTTTGCCTTTTTACATAACAACAGACTATGAAAATTTTTATGTTTTTTAATAGGTAACAGATGTTTTCATTCCACGTCCGTTCCGATCATTCGCTTTTGTCAACTTTTCGAGTCCTGCGGTCGCCAAAGAACTAATGAGGTAAGTAGATAAGTAGTAAAATATTTTTGTTTTTATTACATCGAACTGAATTCATCTTAAAAACTATCTTGATTTGGTAAAGCCATCATAGTAACTATTGAAAGATAAGCACTTACAAACCATATGTTGATTTCACACAAATTAAGTTAATCTAATTTGTATACCACTCCTACTCGTTAAAATGTTAGTGATTAGTTTCTTAGTTAAGTGTTGAGGAATTTGAAAAACTTTGGTTTGCTTATTACTTTCAATACTTGTATTTGGTCTTGATTTCTCTAATTTTAAGACAGGGAGACTTCATTATTGATGGCTCATCAGTAGCAGTAAGTGCAGCGGCACCACGTGAATCAGACTTTTCTCCACGATACGGTCAAAATGCTTCGTATGGATTACCAAGTCAAGGACGACATTCGCGCAGATTTTCTGACAAATATGGCTATTCCCCGGAAACTGTTAGCTTCAAAAGTCCCGATTACGTTAGTGAACGCTTTATTGTCGAGAATGTAACTGCGACAGTAATTTAATTGTCATTCGTTTTTTAAATTTCTACTTGGAATGATAAAAGGTGAAATTCTAGACATCTTATCCATACGATCCCATGGTATCTCGCTCAGTGGATAATTGGCGTGCTAATACTTATCGTTCTTCGGATGCACGCGCATCGAATCGTTTTTCACCTGGTTATTCCAATTCTCCCCGTTATTCGACACCGGCACGTTCAGGTACAAGCCAAGCATTAGCATCTGGGCTGGATGCGCTGAATTTGAACAAGATGAATGTGAATCCGGATATGATGGATGCAGCGTGGCAAGCTTTTTGGAGTACTCTGAGCAATAATAGCAGTAATGCTGGCACTGGCACACCTTCTGCTACAAATTCCAATGGGAAGTGGTAAAACTGAAACTCGTCAGTAGCAGATCTCGCTCGATTTGCTTTGTGTTCAGTTGAATTATTTATTTAAACAAAGTTCAACTAATCACTTTCTTAATTTTAAGATGCTGCAGTGGATTTTGAAGTAGTGTTTGTCATAAGTGAGGAATGTTGCCTATCACCTTTAGAATATACTTACAGAATGAATAAATTTAGGGAGAAAATGAATAAAGTCAATAAAAGCATAACTTGGACAGTCTTAAATATTTCATAAATTTGATGTATCCTAAAATCTTTTTGTTCATTCGAGCTGTATTCCTCTTTGACTAAGTTTCGAGTCCACTACTTATCCCCTGATTAGTTAGTCATATAGACATTTATGTATTATTTCGTTTATTTTCACTATTCCCTGACCGCTTCTTCAGAAAAAGATTTGGAAATTTTTTAATTTTCGGTGAAATTAATTAAGTTTAGAGAGAGAAGAGGGAGAAGGAGTAGAATTTTCTTCTTTTTTTAAAAGATTCGATTACATCATTCGTTTTGAGGGAGTTTTTTTTCTTATTTTATTAGTTTACAGAGTAGGCAATTCAGCGGTAATTTACTTGTTATGTCGTTTTGTAATTAATTTTTTTTTTTTTTTTTTTAATAGGATGTTTTGGTCTTGAGCATATATATTCATTAAAAGTATGAAACAAAAACGAAACACAAATTGGTGAAACATGATACACAAAATCGGTAGACTACATACAATGAAACGTGTGAATCGAAACAGTTGAAGCTCTCTAAAACTATAGAAATAAGAAATCAAGAAATTAAATTCAAGTTTAATATTATGTCGTACGTATAGTGATATAGGATCCATTTTTTTAACAGACAGTGATGCAATCACATCGACATTGGCATGAATGACTTTCAGGATGTTTGTGAATCAGTTTGGAGGGATAGCTGCTGTCTGGGCATTGTGATTTACCACAATCACATTCGCATTCCGGACAATCTAAAAATAGTATTGTTTTTGAAAAAGTTGATTTATTCCAGGCATCTGTATATGAGAGTAATGTTTTCAGATCTATGTATAGCGGAAAGGGGCATATAGATAATTCTATAAGTGATCTTATTTATATCTAGATACATGTAGTTTTGTTAAGTCAAATTTTTTGAGGATTACTTTTGTCTTATTATCTATTATTCACCTAATCATTATAAATTCTAAAAAGCATCATTATAAATTCTGCTAAATATAGGCATTTATAGTGATGTTCGTTAATACGAAATATTTACAAAATATTCGTGATATTGGATTTCTGGAAAAAGGAAATGAGATGGAAAATAATACAGGAACATCTGGATAAAGTAAACCTTGCGTTTTGTGTAATGTTCCCATTGGTGAACTGAAGGGACAAATTTCCATTTTCCAGATTATATCAAACAATGTATTGTTATCATTGTACTGATGCCAACACTGCAATCCTCTGTAGATTAGGTCGTTGGCTATTTCGTGTTCAAAATTTTCATTTGGTTGATTAATACGATCGTTTATACAAGCATTCTCATCAATAATTATGTTTTTTGATGTACAACATATTGGATCCCATCTGAAAAAAAACTTTGATGATGAAATGAATTGTTTACAATTGAACAATAGCATTTTGCTTTATATTTAGTGATGAGATAGAGAAGGAGAAACCATTTTTTTTTTTTTTTTTTTTTTCAATGGATAAAATACTTTTGATTAATTTGAAAAAGAAATGGATAGGTTTTAATCATATCCTAGCATTTTCTAGGAAATTAGGTCTTGATTTTTTGAGATATTTCATGAAATGAAGTGATGATAGCTTACAGCATAACTTTTGCTGGATTTTCAATAAGGTAAAGATTGAAGCCTGCAAGCCACGTCTGCCCTGGGCAACCTTCCAGTATACCGGAACATTGCGGTGCACTTTGTAATGAACCGCACTTAACCTTAAATGTAATGCTAAAAGAAATAAACACAACAAATTAATTCAGGATGCTACTGAGATGCTAAGATATAATAATGTCTACGTTAATAAATGCTAATTAATTCTCAGAGAACCATATTTATTCAATCCAACTATTTATAAATGAATTATGAACATAACCGATAACTGATAGTTTAATTCAGGATGCCTACTGGGTAGCGAATTCACTTATAATAGATATTTAACTTAGTAAATAAACAATCATAGAAAAGTAAATGTCTTTCATTCAATTATGTTGGAATAAACCAATTTCTAAATTCTAAAGACAAAAAAAGATTCCAAAAAGTACCAATTGTGTATTTCGTTCAATAAGTTCACATTGTACTACTAATGAGCCCAATTTTCCATTATATTTTGGAGATCGCTGTAACTTAGATACTCGATAACCTGGTCTACATATCAATGAATAGTCGTCAAGGGTAGTAAATGCAAAGGTATTAATAGTGTCACCAAAAGTGTACCACAAGAAGAAGAAAAAGCAGAAGTAGTAGTAGTGAACATGCATCATGCATGACATCAATGATTGCAGATCATCATCATTCCTCTTCATTTTCATCTTTATTCCTTCTTTCTCTACACAATTCAGAGAGATGGATGAAGATGACAATATACGAGTGGTGACAATCTATTGATCACTCATCAATCATATTCTTTATTCGGTCTCTTATAACTCGTCTTTCAATTGCATATCACTTTTTTTTTAATGCTTCATCCGTAATATGTTCACTTCATTGCTATTGCTAATATTTTCTTCATAAAATTTTCCTAAGAAATTAATTTATTCATAAACTGCATTTGACTAATTGAACTTTTCTTACGTCAAATGGAATTAGATGCAAAGAAACACAGTTTTTAAATCTACGAGGAATTTCAGAGTTTGATATTTGAAGCAATAATATATTTGGTAATTTTGGTAACTTTTGAATGCATTACTTCTGAGAAATATAACGAAAGGTGCCCCAAAATAAAAAACACAATAAATGAAGAAATATCACGCAATAAAAATACTTGAATTAATGATTTGTTACATCTGTGCATTAATTTCAATCTTATTTACTATGAGAATAAATATGAATATCCAATCTATTGCTAATTTCCTGAAATTCTTACTTCTGTAGATAAGACTTCACAAAATTTATTGATTCACCGTTCCAAATAGATATTTACTTTTTCAAGTTCATTTACATTGCAAAGATATATTTAAGACAACAGGTGCAAGCCAATGTTTAGAAATTATGATAAAAAATACAACATAAACAAAAAGAAGAGATAAATAACTAGTTCACCGTTCAATATATTATAAAAACAAGACCCTTAAAGCGCATTCTCTAATATAGTAAGAATCTTGTGCATTACAGCACCAAACCTTCCAAAAAAGAAAAAAAAAAATCAACCCTGTTTGAATTACTTCTTATTCAAACAATAATAGCAATCAAACTAAAGTAAAAAGAATGTCAGCCAAAAAAAAAAAAAAAAAAAAAAAAAGAAAAAGAAAAATACGTCTTGACAAATAAAGGGATAACAAATTTGGCAAAGAATTGAGCTGTACGGAAACCAACTCAGTACAACTGTAAAACAGACAAAAGTAACGCTCTTTGAAAGCTCACAATATAATGAATTTGTATTCCCAGAGAGGGATGTATAAAGCGAATTACAAATTAAACTTCAGGTTTCTGATCGAGGAAGACCACACATAGAGCAGTCTGTCCGACCCACCGAATTTTCAAAAGTACAATGCTTACAAGACCATTTAGTGCTTGATTCGGTAGCTGATGACTCTAAAAGACATTAATGTTAATTACAATTAACAACATAATTAGCTACAGTTTTAGTGTGACAGACTTTTAATTATCTAAGTAAAATGGAAATTCTACTAGTTTTCTTTTTTCTGTTACCATTAAATAACTTTCTGAAATATTCTTAAAGACTTGCTGAAAACCGGCACTTTCACCTTGCACTGAATGAAGGCATAATGTTGACAATGTTGCCCAATTGATACTTCCAGATGCCCATTCCATCGCTTTACCTCGGTCTTGCTGTTGAACTATATCGCAAAGAGATTTTATTTCTTCCTGAAATTTATCCCGTAAATCATGTTATCATAATATAATTTCCTTAACTGATGATGCTATTATGTCTTACATTTTGACTTATATTGTCGAAGGTACAGTTTATGGGTATAAGCTTATGCTGAGTCCATTTCAGAACGAGGAACACAAGAGGCTACTCACCTTCGAAAACTTTACTATATCATTATTGAGAAGGAAAAGAAGAAAATGGAAATTAGTTGCCAATTCAATAAACTGATTCTGTGAAAATTCAGATATGTATCGACCAACTGCTTTCGAATCCTGAAACAGAAACTTTGGAAAATACAAAAATGAATAGACGTAAGAAAAATTGTACTCTGATGATGCCAATCTACTTACACAATTTACAATAGAAACAAAATTTAGCATAAAACTCGTGAAACTATTAACGGCGTTCTCTGATGAATATAATTTCAGGCGCACGCAACATGTAACTCTTTTTATGTTCAACAAGCAACCATTACAAAACTTACGAAAATGGCACTGTCACAGACATAACATAGAAAATTTTAACTGCTAGAAAAAGAAAAAGCGCAACATTCCAACACTCTTAAAAACTCTGAGTTAAATAGAAATTAGAAATAACGTACAATAACTGTAAATGATTATATATACCTGCAATTCACCAATTAAAATACGATTCTCAGTTGGAAAATAACATTTTTTTGAAATGTTAAACGTAGCGTGTGGCTCCTTTGGCATTCCTGCCGGAACGTCAACAAGCAAATACTCAACAGGCATCGGACGGCCATTTTTTCTTGTTTCAACACCGTATTCATTCTTTTCCTGAAAATATGTTTGCATAAATGCGTGCTGATTACAGGACTGGTCTTAAAAGGAGCAAAATTCTATGTGGCATACCATATAATAGACATCAGTGATATACTGTGATGGAGTTAAAGGCACTTCACGCAAATAAGCTAGCTCAGGATGAGAGGTTGGACACAACAAATTTGCCTCAACAAGAGAAGCACACTGATTAGAAACTTGATAACCACTAAAATCAATTTGATTCCATTCATTACCTGCAAGCAAGATAGAGAAAATTTACTGGATGAAAACGAAATTATTATCAATAAGTAATGCAAACAAATTATAGACCAATATTATTCAAAAGAATACAAAATACAACTCCAAAAGAATATAGCGGATGGAACATAACTTACTAGTCAATATGTCTTTAACTTAATTTGCCAATACATAAATCACAACCTCGCCTTTATATCTAATTGTTTTCTATTATCGATACTCTGATGCACTGGCTAGACAAGAAAATCAGTTGCATTATATAGCAACAAAATAAAAATCAACTTCATTTAACCGATACAAAGTTTTGAAAAATGAACCTGATGCAACAACAGTAGTAAATTTAGAGCCAAAATATCCATCGGTACAAAAAGTGGTTATGTTAGGATATTTATTTTGTAACCAACCAGCTGTGATGCATTCCTGTGCAGTTAAGAAAAATGAATCCTGAAAGAATAATATAGGCTCCAAATCATGAATTTTTTAAAAATCTAAATCATTTAGCTTAAGTCACAAAATTGTGAAACATGAAAACCTTGTGTCGCGTACAATAAACAGTGCCTTTAGATGAATCTGCAGACCACAAATCAGTGAAAATCCAACCAACGCGTTTCAAATTAAGATAAGAACAAAGTTCATCCACCACTTTCTCTTGTGGATCGGCTTCTAAACATACTGAATCGGCCGAACAGGACTATAATATCATGAATTAGGAAAACAGCAGTAAAATAAAAATGAATAAAGAATTACATAAACTTAACCAAATAGACCAATCAAACCTGCGGTGGCTCATAAATAGCAGCAACTGTTGCTTTAATCCCAAGCGGAATCTCTTGAAAAGATTCGTAACGTCCGATCATATAACCTATTCTTTGATGACCCGTTTTGCGCCAAAATGCAAGAAAACGATTCACAACTTCTTCATTTTCAATTGATATATTGTCTACATGTCGAAAACGCTAAAAAGAAAAGAATTTAATTATACGAACATATTTGAAGTTTTTTTTTAATAACAGAGGAGCGCACTGAATGTGAGAACCATTACTTAGGGTTACAACATCTTATTACTTAAAGAATTAAACACTGCATTATTTTGTTTAAAACTAGTCTTAGATATAAATCCTGACCACCTCAAATATGTGATATGAAATAAATCCTTGAACATAAATTTAAGAAACCTGTCTATTAAGTGTAACCATCGGCGGTCGACATTTACTACATATTCCTTGTGGATACGGTTTATGACTTGGACAGTTAGGTTTCAGTGAACAAACAATATTTTCTAGTGGTTTTTTCAGTTGCGTTCCTTTACCGTGACCAGCAGTCATTTTACGCACATATGCATGAAAGGACATATGCTTGATATCCTTTTTTTTGAGGTAATCTTCATCGTACGGCTAGAAACTCTAGTAAAAGCCTTTCCGAATGTTTTAATAATTGCCAAAAACAACGGGAATTAAGCTGTAACCGAAGTTATTTATGTAAATTACTATAATTCTACACTTTTTTCATCACTGGTGAAAGAATGAAATAATATGTAAAGGTAGGTTTAATATTTGAAAAACTGAAATTATCAACAAAAAGTTACGACGACAATCATATTTCAAGCATATCACCGACAATTAAAGAAAAGAACTTACATCTAACGGTAAACAGTAGGTACATTTTTGACGTGTGCCATGATGACACATGCGTGGATCTCTCTCTCGTATAATCATTCCATCTTGCTTTGCAAGGTAATTATCTACGTCGTCAACTTTATCCTGAAAATAAAGTAGAACACAGGTATTTAATACAAGATTGGCTCGAAAATTCGTATAATAAAATTTTATTGTCCATATGAATCATACAATCTAAATTTTAACATGCAACTAGACTAATTGTGCATTAAACTTCAAAAGTTCTTCCTGTATAAGATGACGTTTTTGCGTCATGAAATCAAAGTAAAAAGACAAACCATTAATGAGGCTTCGAATACAATATTTTGAGCCCTTCTTTTTGCAGTCCTGAAATTACGTGTTCAAGTAAAACGTTATTTCCATTGATATGAAGCGAGTTAGCTTTTTGATAAATCCCCCGACTTAGTATTACACGTAAGCATCTCAATGAACTTCATGCAAGCGACATGGTCACTAGCTTTAAAACCACTGACTGGGCGACTCGGGCATCCGCAAAGTATCAGAGAGTAGAAATTGTTACATTTAGTTGGTGGTTATGTGGGTACGTAAGATTCACGTCACTCAGATAGCGCTTTCCTCCTTCAGCACTTCTTCCCGAAATCTTAATTACATTATATTTATAAATGCACTTTTATGACGTCATTTTCTTATTTACTATCCGTCACTGTGCTAATTCTGTGATCTGAACTTCGTTAAAGTGATTCGTAATCTCACATAAAGCTTAAAACTATATAGTGATTGAAGGTAAATTAAAAGTTCGTGGATAGCTACTTTATGTCTTTTGTTGATCTAGATAGTTTGTCAGGACCTTCTATCGACTGTGTAAAAAGACAAACTCAAATGTCATCAGATTACATGTCATAAAAATACAAGTTTATGGTTTAGAAAGGATCCTTTTTCAAAATCGTTGCTTTTATTTCGTTGAACTGACGCCAATTCCCATTACGGTAAATTGTCAGAATTAGAGGTATAGAAAGCAAAGCTTTTGAAAAAGGGTCACAATCATCGAAATATTTGAGCAATTGGAATGCGCTAATCATGCATATCGCAAAACTATGCAAGAGTTTTCAAAAATGGAAATTAGTGAGCTTTACATGATGCTAATGTTATCAATAGGGGAAGTTTGTGGAGGAATTCCATCTAATCATTAAGCTGCTCTGTCAGGAAATGGAATGAGACGTAGTCGATTATATTTCCACAGTTAATGAATATATAGATGAATAGACAGAAACAAGCGGTAAGGTGTGACAAAGAGTAAGAATACAGTAATAATAGAGCGATGGGACAAAAACACTTCTTAACACGAAATGTTCAAGAAAAATTAAGCAAAATCGATTCTTTTTCAATTTTATGGTTTTCTGCTCTAAATTGGGCATTAAATGAAAAAAAAAAAAAAAAAAAGAATGGGTATGATAGTAATTCATAAAACTACTACCATTAACATTCTAAACAATTTTCTGGTTGTAGAACTGGAACGATCATAGCTGTGAAATAGGTTAAAGCATAAATTTCTTTTACAATATATATATATATATAGCGTATCGACATGCATTTCGGCATCAAATCCAATTGCTCGAATATTATGATTGTTAATCCTATATTTAATCTCCATGGTTGCAATATGAAGGAAATTTAATTAAACTGCAATTAAACTGTGTTATGATGTAGCATGCTTTATGCGTTGTAAATTCTCAAATAGAGAAAGATTCGGAGTTCAAGCTTAATCGCACTGAAAGGATGTACAGTGAGTGAAAAGATTGAAATTAGGCATTTTCAAATCTTATTATTAAATTTCCAAGCATCTCATAATTATTATAGTTCTAGTGCGAAACCGTTATAATTCTGTATTCAATAAATGTGCTTTTTAACTGGTTTCTAACAACAGCAAAGCCTCAGCTATAACTTCATAAATTCATCATAACCTGAAAATGCTTTGTATACAGTTAAAGACTTATTGGTTATATGCATATTACTCTTCTTCCCAAATTCATCACTTAATGGATACAAGAAACACAACAAAAATCATTGCAGTCAGAATGTTGATTCATCTGATTGCACTTTGTCGGAAAGCGTTGGTTCATCTCCCTTAACTTCTTGTTGCTGCAAATAGATTCAGATTCCAGTAAGAAGAAACAGGCGCTAACATAAAATTGAAACACATTTCTATTTCTAATTATTGTTCATTTTCTATATTTACTATGCTATTACTCATTTCAATTTTTTAAAAGATTCTGAAATGTATGGTTCATAATAGTAAAATATGGAATAAGTTTGCTGTTATTTTATTCTACTTCTAACGATGGTGGAGCAAAAGCAATCAAATAGCAACACATATTACATTTTAGGAAGTCTTTTTCAGTAAAATTTTCAGGGCGAAATGCAGGATCGCAGTTTTTTCCTTAAGATGCTTCTATTGAAAATGGAAATCGTGTATTATGTTGTAATGTGATGTGTTTAGAAAAAGTGAAACGAACTCGGAAAATTTTATTATTTATCAGCTTTCATGCTTATTGCTCGTATGAATTCTTTATGTCTGGTTATATGAAGTTTGGAAAATTTATAAAATGGAATTACCTGGTTAATATACACTTGAGATATTTTTCGTCTAGTTCGTGAGGCGATGCAATCCATTGATAACGAACTGGGCAAAACTTCTTTCACTTGAGATTCTGAGGACGACTCTGTTGTTAAATTCAACGTTGAGTTGGATGGATATCCATTACATGTTTTTTCAGCATTTCTGAGATAGCGACAAATTAATATCCAAAAATCTTAATACCTGATTGCTTTTCAAATTGATCTGAATAATCATAAATTTGAAGAAAAAAAAAGTTTTCGAACAATTGTTAGAATTAAAAGTACTTCCATTCGTGATATGACAGTGCAAGATTATCATCCTGAAAAAAATTAACATGCAAGGTGTCAAATTCCTATTCTAAATTTTAATAAAAATACGTGAAAAATTTACCTTGATTTCTCAGAAGCAATTTGACGCACTGCTTTTTCCAAGTTGGTAAAAACATGTGTTGGCAAATTCCTCAGCTTTTCTAGTACGATATCGAACTTCACTCTTAAATCCAAAATCATTTCATCCTGAAATGAATGTGATTGATATGCAAATAAATTTAAATGAAAATAAACTGATGTTGTAAAGCTTACTGTAGTTTCCAAAGAAGATGGTTTATCAATTTTAGGAGCACTAGTTTCTGGGAAAACATCAATTTTCGGACTTCGGAAATCAACGCTTTCATCAAACCTAACGGTTTTTCCCTGAAAAACAATTTTATATAATATTTCCATTTATCAGTCATGCAATAATATCTACCTTCGATATAAAATCAAAAAATATTCAGTCCTAAAGAAATCTAGAAATTTAGGCAGCAAAGACCAACTGGTGTTCTTTTTGACATCATAACAGATGAAGACGGTGTAACTAAAATAGACGTCGAATCAACTTTTGTCGAAATGATCGGTTCCATAGACAATGAGCGAGCAGTTAACGCAGTCAATGGCAAAGGTTTAGCAAATTTCATGGCAGCCGTGTCCAAAGGATTTATTCCATTAGGAAATAATGATGGCCGTTCACGGCTACGCTAAATGAAAAAAAAATATATATATATATATTGATCAGAATGTTAATTTTCAACACAGTTAAAAAAATTAATGACTAATTTTTTAGAGAATGACTAATTTCTGTAACCATTATTCTGAATCGGAAATAGAACTGTTTTATGGAGTTCGAGTATATAAATGTCTAAACTAAGTAGAACTGAAATGACTTAAATAAGATGAACACTCAAATAGATGAAAATAACTTACAAAGATGGAAGCTCTTCCAGAAATTGAATTCTGAGGACATCTGTTTAAAATACTTGTCAGTGCGGCATCATCACGCTCAAATATTTCATTGATTGGTTTCAGAGGCGCTTTTGCAAAACATGACTTTGATTCGCATTTTGCATCTGAATGCTGAAAATTATTTCTTCCATGAATCATGACGTTAAAATAGATAACTAACAAATACCAAGAAACTCAATTCTGACAAATTGTTTCCAAAGAGTTAGATATCAAAATTTTTTAAAAAATTTACGCCTGGGTAGAAATAAATGTGGAAGATTCAAACTGAAATAATTACATTAAGGATGTCTTTGCAAATCGCTTTCTGACTGCTAGATGTTTCAGCTATTTGTTTGTTTCTTGACGAAATGCGTTGTAATTTCAAAGACGCTAAGGAATTCTTGCGTGATCCAATTTTAATACTTGACCCTGGGACTGTCTGCAAAACTCAAGTACAGGGCAACCTTTCGCGAAATTGTCGAAACATCATGGAAAATGAATAAGAATAAATGTCACTTCTATGTTCAATATTATATTTTATCCAACTACTTAAAACATGATAATAATGACCTTGATGCTAAGTTTCATAAAATGAGCTCCTGTCGAATAGTCTGTCTTGATTTTCCGATTCTGCGCCCTGGAAAATTGCTAGCATGCTTTATAAAGACACATTCTTAATCGTTCTGTTTTGTGACAAAACTCTAAGCTTTGGAAATGCTCAAGTTTAGATAATATCAGAACAGTCCGAATGCTAAGCCTGTGAATTTGCAGAAGTTAATTTTCTGCATTAAAAACTTTCTTTTGATAATGCACAAAAACTTGATTATTGTTATTTTACATTGTCCATAACTTTAATACACAGAGACGTAGATAAGAATTTGAGCTTGCTGCATACATTTGTGATTAGCCTGAAAATGTTAATTACAAATGCTATATCTGACATAAGCTTACGCATATTTCGTGCCAGCTTCAATCATCCTTTTCCGTTTCTCGGCAGCTGTAAGTTCTTTAGATATTCCGCCATCGTTTATTTTTCGCAATGTTGAAGTCCGATGTTTGCTGGAATTCACTGAGAAATGGTATAAAGCCCACAAATTTTCCTACTACTCTTAACCACTCACCTGCCCCGTATCCCACTAAATGTAACCATACAGGAAAACCAAAGACCATTCTATGACTGTTAAAAACCAAAACTATCATAGGTTGGAGGATAAATAGCCAATTTATCACTAAAAGATAGAATATCCAGAACAATTAACTATCAACAGTATAATTATAGTTCTCGTAATGATTATATGTTTCCTTAATAGAAATGAAGATTAAATTTCACACAAAAAGATGAATGGAAATGAATATATTTTCTAGGGATAAATAAATATGAATCTTCTATCTCTAGTCTCTTAAAGACAAACATAAACTTTTTAACCTTCAACTATCATTTTAAATTCGTCGATCTTTTTTTTTAAATTACTGGGAAAATCACTTCTTAGAATCTATCATTCATGAAAAAAAAAAAATGCAAAAATTTTACAATGCAAGTCATGACACAATAAGGAGAATCACTGAATCTGTAGGACTGGTTGACCTTAAGACATTACAAGATAGATCCATTTATACATTTCTTCTGAGTTTATGGCAACTTCACTCCTAATTTCAAGATATATCTCATTTTTAATGAAATTTGAAATTTAATGAAATTTACAAACCTTTGCTGATTATTTTTCAGTAAAGCTCGTCCCATCGGATGGATTGTGATAAACTGTCGCACTATTTCTCGCTGCTTCTTCTGCAATTCTATTTTATAGATTAATTCAATTAAAATAACTCATCAATAGCAATCAATTGAAGCCTAAACGACACCTAGGTGACACCTTTATTTAAATAACTATCTTACCAAAACCGAAATACAAATACGAACAATCAATGATGGCTATGAGCGCCTTTTCCGCCAAAAAATGCATGTCGCACTTTTCCCGCCATTCACATTTGAAAATAAAGCATCATTTAACGCGTCCGATATGAAAAATTTTTGTTGCAGAAAGATAAGAGTTCAATTTTAAAGTATAATTAATGAATTGAAGTGTTGTTTTCCAGATTATATGCTTGATTAAACATTCCATTAATATCACTGATGCTATTTGACATTCAAATCATTCTTCCGGAATATTTGGATATTTGCTGATTGTGTTTCTTGCTATGCTGGAGTGTTTCATATTTAAGTTTGCATCAGTTTAAAAAAATGCACGATATGATTTATCAGGAAATCTTAATAGGATGACATTTATTAACGGAAGAAGCGTGAATGTCTCTTTTGATGTTTAAATGCTTTTTATGCATCACTTATATATTTCATCCGCCTTTATTACATCTTTACAGATTGATGATTTCAGTTAAGTACCGAATTCCAAAATGATAACTTCCTTTAACTCTATTTCTTTTTCCGATATTTGAGTGTTTAAATTTCGAACTATTTCAGTACTGTATGCTATATCATGACTTGCAAACGTAGAAGTGTCGTAGTATCATGTTGTTTTATTTTTTTATTCTTTAAAACCAGATTATAAACAAAAAAGGAAAGAAGAAAAGAAGAATTAAATGGAATTAAAAGCCGAGCATAGTGTGTGATGTCTGCGTGCGATGTGTTGTGGACTTTTCAGTGGACTCTCCAATATGTGTAAGATACCATTCACAGCAAGCATATCCACATCCTGCATTTTCAAATTTACTTTTCAGTTAAGGATTTGAAGAGTAACACGTTATGTTAGAGTGTGCAGCATTACAGTGCTGCAAAAGTAATTGCTGTGTTAGGAAGTTAAAGTAATAAGAGGATGGCTGGATAGATCTTTTTAACTAATGATCTAGGTAATACGGTTTGTGAAATTTTTGCTCACTAACCTGTAAATTAATATTACCAAATGTTGTCTTCTTGTCTACTCTGTGACCACTGTAATATTCACCTCTAACATTTTTCAGAATTACAGGAAGCTCTCCATTACTTGTTCTTACCTGGAGATTCTTCGAACAGAATAGTCCTGTAAATTAAGTGGGCGTTGAGAAGAATTAAGTAAATTTAAATGATAAATAATAATTACCCTCAAAAATATGTCTGCGGACAAAATTATTTGCCATCGTTTTATTCGTTCTTAGTGCTCGAACTTGATTATTCGATAATGCATCATTGGAAGGCAGAAAAATGGTATACAGTCGATCATTCTCCAAACTGACGTTACTGTCATTGAGTAACGAAGCAAATACAGAAAATTCATTTCGAGCAGTTAGCAGCTCTTCTAATGTATTCGTAGTTCTTGGTAAAGGCTAAATTTTATACATTTTAAGTAAATTTCTTAGTTCCAAAAACAAAAAAAGAAAATCTGAAAAAAGCCGACATGAAATTAGAGAGATGAAAGAAAGGAGAAATAGTTGAATTTTCTAAAACTTCGAACCTAGCAGCAAGTGTCAGACTTTCAAATTTAATGATTTAAATTGTAAAGGATGTGCTCATTATTTTTCATGTTCATACGTTTACAGTTCATACTGAGAGCGAATTTTTGAATCCTAGCCTAAATATTCATAAATATTTTTGAGACATAACTATGATCAATATAAAAACAAAAGTACATACAGCATCAATAGTATAAATGATCGTGTTGCAATACTTCGTAGGTGTTTTTACTGTTTTTGCGCATCCGAAGACTGGCCTTACAGATTTCGCCGATGAAGGAATCTGAAGTTGCAAAAAGATATGTCTATAAGATCGAAAAGTTTTAAAAATATCTACGGGTAATTAAAAATATTAATTTAAGTGAGTGACAATTAATAAATCAATTACCTTCGAACCATATGCTGTTTCGATCAGATTATTTGTGACATATGAGTCATTCATGATAATATGATTCATAACAAATGATTTTTCATCTGTCAAATTCTGAAATTAAAAATAAAATTGGCAAGTTGAGTGAAGATAAGATAGCGTTTTGATAGGACGGTGTAAGAATTGAAATAACTTGATTTATTTAAAACAAAGAATAGTGACTTTATAATGAGAAGTAAGGAAGAAGGTTGATCAAGTAATTGCGGTGAATTAGAATAAACCTAATGCTATCTTTTCTGATTCAGCTATTAATATCTAAGTAATGGTATTGAAACAAAAGGAATAATTTAAAGATTGTGTACTCGGAATGAATCATCGGGTGGTACAAATATAGCCACTGGGTCATCTTCATAACCAATATTGCGTTCAACGATTTCCAGGAATTCTCGACCGGGAAACTCTAAGTGGTCGCGCCAATCTATTGCAGCTGTAAACTTTAAAAGATAATTTATTTCCTCAAATTTTCTGCATCCAGCAGTTGCTAGATATTATAGCAACCAGCTTTTCGATTTAGCTTCGATAAAATTTTGCGTTCGTCAGTGAAGTTATTTTGGACAATGGAGAAAGTGAAAACGAATTAAATTCAAACCCAGATTTACATTGTTCTCGAAGTATTACATCATCGATGATATGAATGACACCATTTGAAGCTACTCGATTAGCACTTAAAATTCGACCATTATCCAGACGAATTAATTCTGTGTTATTTCCATCCCACTAAATTTCAATTATAATAATTTCCATTTTATGATATTTGACTACTGCAATTCTAATTAAAATTTTATTTGCGAAATGGTTTGTGGCTTTGTTGCATATAAACATAATTCGTCATTTATTTAACAAATTTAAGTGAGATTGAAACTCTCGACCTGTTTGTAAAAGCGATGTTTGATACCAGTAATTGATGTTATAGCATTTTCCTTGAATGGTGAGCATAACATACCATCATATATATGTTCCTTGATTAATTCTATAAAAAAAAAAAAAAAAAAAAAGATCTTAATTTAATTGAAATTTAGTTTATGAAATTTAGAGAAAACATTATGTTTCACCTCTTGCGCATCCTTTTTTTTGATACATACGTGCTTGAAGTGATAATGATAATGAAGAAAATTTTTCGTTGTTAAAAACGAATACAGTTGAAATGAGATTGTTTGATGCAAGACGTTCTTGAAGATCATCAGTTAACACTGAAAAGAATTATTTAAATTCTATGTCTCAATCAAATTATCTCATTTTTGCTTCACTTTTTTTTTTTTCAAGTAAAAAAAAAAAAAAAAGATTACAAAGGAAAACAATAAAATTGGATTGTTTTAGCAAGACTTGATCAAATGATTTTAAAGCTTACAACTGCTGAAAGCAGAAAAATTCGAATCATTTATAATAATGTCAAAAAGTGTTTGATCTGTTATATTAGGTAAAGGTCCATTTAACAGTTGCACAGTGCCATTTTTCCATTCCAGATCTTCATCTCTTATTTTGATACAATTCAAAAGAGGCTAAAATTTTCAAAACTGATTCGGATATTTGATAAAAATCTAAAATATTGTAATAAATACCTGTTTATGGTTCATCGGATTTCTTGATTCTTGAATTATATATGAATAATTTTTGTAAAAATTACTTACAACAATGATAAAGACAATATGTCTAGAAATTCAATTCATATGTAATCTGAATTGAATAGGACAAAGTAAAGGAAATAAATGTAGGACAAAATGCAGTAAAGGTAATCCTTTTTTTAACTTTTTAAATTAACAAATTAAAATTAATATTAATATGAATTATTTATTTACTCAAAAAATGAAGTAAATTATTCCTACTTTATCGTCTAAATCTGTTTGCTCGAGATTTCTCGATACAATAACAAAAGCTCCTTGTTTTCGAGTTGGCAATTTCTGAGAGTTTAACATTTCATAGCTACGATACGGTTGTTCCAGGATGTATTGATCCCAATTCCTGCTTTCAGTATCGTTCTAAAAGAGTGGAATAGCAGCAAAATAGCAGGTATTCTACTTCAAAAAAAAAAAAAACATGATCTTATTCAGTTGTTGATAGTGTATGTAAAGATTGAAAAGAGTTTTATTAAAATAAATGCTTAAAAATTGAGATAGAAAGACAAAATATCTGCTAAATGACGAGTTATAAATCAAAAGAAAAAAATTGAAATTTATTTCCTTAATAATGAAGAGTGAAAAAAAAAAAATGGAAAGATTTTATAAATTCATAAATTTCAAATTTCTCACAAATTGTGCAAAAAGAATTGGAAGGAGAAGTTAAGCGAAATTTTTAGTATCAGAAAATTTATACCTCTGAGCATGATTCATTGCTTGGTATCAGTAAGGTTGTAAATTTGATATCCTTTGATGCGAATGGCTCTATACAGACATTCTTCTTATGCAACAATTCATCTAGAGTTTTTGGAATATCGTCTGAAATCAATTTCATCACGTAAAAATGCATCATGACGTACGTAAAATAAAAACGTCATATGTTTAGCAATAAGTACGTATACTACTGAAAACCGGACAAGAAAGTGAACATACATGGAAAGCATCCTTTCTTGATATCTGAAGTGTAATATCCATCACAACATTCAATGATTCTTATCAACGTTCCGTTACTGTCACTCGTAACACAACGTATAGCTCGTTTATATGACGTACACGTTGATTCAGAAGTATCCCACAGTAATGGCACTTTCTTTTCTCGTACACAAACATGCTGCCTAAATATTTAAGTTTTAGAGAAGTGTTAAAATAGATAATAATAATAATAATAATAATAATAATAATAATAATAATAATAATAATAATAATAATAATAATAATAATAATAGTTTAATTAACATTCAATGAAAAACTAGAAGA